GGAGAGAGCAGGCACGGGCAGGGTGACTCATGTCCGCAGTGTTTGTCGGTCTCAGTGACAGCTTTGCATCGCCCTTCCCTGTAACCAGCGATATGGGCTGTGACCCCGCACCACGGAGGCACAAACAAACACCCTGCGCAATGCCAGGGCTGCTCAAGGGCAGCACTGAGGAGGTCGGTCAGGTCGGATCCCCCCTTGGAGGTGACGCTGTTGAGGTGGCAGTCCCGCACCTGCTGGCAGGTCACCATGGTCCTTTTGGAGAAGACAGCCCCCCACCCTAGCAGCAGCCCAGTGCAGGGGAGGGGAAGCAGGAGCAGGGATGAGTTTCGGGCACCGCGTGGTACCCAGGCACTGAGCAGCCCAAGGTCTTGCTGGCAAGGGTGCTGCCAAGCTCACTTTCCCCCAGCCCTTCTCTGATGACTGCAGCCACAATTGATGCTTCCAGCCCTTAACAAAATCCAGGAGGTTACAAGACCCTGGTGAAGCTTTTCCAGGCTTGCAGCAGTGCAGCTTTTCTCGGAAATGCCCCAGCCCTCCACCATTTGATGGAAATTGCCCCAGAAAAATCCAGTTTCTTTAGCGGAGAACAGTGCAGAGACAGGATAAGCCCATTTCCAAAGGGGCTCCTGCCTGAAAACCAACAGCTTTGAGATGAAAGCAGCAGAGTTGAGGCGAGCAATGGGCAAAGCAGAGCAAGGCAGGGTGGCCCAGACCCCCCAGACCTCCCACAGAATCTCTGTGTACCCCCGGGAGGGTTTTACAGCACCCCCAGACTGTCCAAGAGCCCCACAGGACCAGTGCATCCCCTGTGCACCTGCGGGGCAGCTGAGCACGCATGAACTCACCACCTCCTGCCCCACATGCTGGTGGAGGTGACAGTGCCAGAGGAAGTTGAACAAAAACCCAATTTCATGTAAAAACCATATGCAGTTGTCAAGGATCTTGTCAAAAAAGACCTTTTTGTTCTGTTTTTTTACTTCCCCCCCCCAGCTCCATCTGCTGCTGAGTGGCGGTAGGTTGTAGCTGATGGGGAAGAGCCAGAGGTGGGTGAAGCATCCGCAGAGCCAGCCTGCATCTCCTCACTCCCCCCGAGCAAATTCAAGAGACCAGCTGTGCTTTGTGCCTGCCTCCTGGATGCTCCCAGACCGCCAGCACAACCAGCATGACCACAAGGTCCTGAACAGTGTATGCCATGAAAATGCACAGCACTGAAGATACGGGGGATCAGCCCTGCTGCAGGGTGGGTAAGTCTGATTTTATCACCGGAAAGCAAAATCACTCTTCAGCAGCACATCACAGGTTTTGTAACACACTCTCTCAATCCGGGCACAAGCCTTGGGGCCGGGGGGGGGTGGATTTTACACCCCCTGCCCCACCAGGGACCATGTCTCCTACGTGGTCTTTCCTGTAGGACCTCGGTTATTCAGGCTGATGCCCACGAGGGAGAGATGGAAGAGGCTCCCACGGCCTTGGGTGTAACTCCACCATGTACGTGCAGGAGGGATCAGGGGCTGGGACTCTTAACCCTGCTCCCCGAAACAGAGAGCCACCAGCGGCACGGGTCAACTCTGAGCCCATAAAATCAGACTTACCCAGTTGTCCCAATACAGTTTCGTTGACTGATTTCCTTTTCTCTTTCTTCTCGGGACTACTTTTTCTACCATCTCTTCCTTTCCTTCTTGGGTCACTTTTCTTACCCTTTGTCTTCTTCCCAGTTTGTTCTGGCATTTTTTAGAAAAAAAGGAAAACTCCGTGTAAGACGAGGCATCAGGGATGCTGCGGTGAGCAAGTTCCCCTGGGGCACACCCCTGCGGTGGAGACCTGGACCAGACCTGCACACAACTCCAAGCCAAAGGGAGAACAGCGGCCGCTTTTTGGCCAGCTGTAGGCTAAGGTCTCTATAGGTGAAGAAAATCTGAATCCCATAGGTTATATAAAAAAGAAGTTTGGGCCTTGGACACAAACTTAGCATGGCTGCAGGATCAGTCCCACTGAAGGCAGGGGACTCGCTGGAGACTCTGCAGCCATCGACATGCCCTCCTGGACCAGGGCTTTGGGGTGAGGACCTGTGGGAGCAGCAGAAGGGAGTAACCCCGAACCCTGCTCAGAAACCTTCCCAGAGACACGGGGATCTCCAGACCCGGCGGTGTGTCACCCACCACCGACAAGAGCATCTCCTGGAGGGATTCAGCTGCAAAGCCAGTTTGACAGCAATGGTACTGGCAGCGTTTTAAAGCAGACCTTGATTTGATTTGACCTTTCGGTGATAGTAACAGCTCGCACTCACACTGTGCCGGGGTGGAAAAACCCAAAGCTATAAAACTTAAGGAGTGTATTGAACATAAGTAAATAGAGTAGGAAAGATGACCAGCATTGCCTATGGAAAGCCAGGGATATAACTCTTAGCTATGTAGACATTCAGCTAAAAATCAATATTTCCTAAATGGCTTTGAACTTCTACTGGATTTATTCCTCTTGGGTAAACAGGACAAATACCCTATAAAAGTACAACTTGTATTGCCAAGCAAAATACTTCAACAGTTTTTACTTACTCCGTTAGGTCACTCTCCCACAGAAGTCCACGCTAAGACTTCTATTAATTTTCAGAGGGGGAAGAATATTGCCCTTAAAGCAAAACGTGGGTGGCTGATGGAAGTGGAGGCGAGACATGCAGTTTTCCAGAGTCTGGCCCATAGGATGAACCTGCACAAGCTGTGCAGCTGTCGGAGCAATGATTTTAAGAAACGAATGGGTTTATTGTGTCAGCCAGCAGCAGACCTGCAAACAGCCTCAGCAGAGAGGCTGCGAACTGGATGGGTCAGAGGGAATAAGCTCTGCTCTCCCCTTGGTGTGGCAGTGGAAATGTACTGGGCGAGCAGGGGAGGGAATTCGCATTGCACCTGCCCGAGCCTGGATTAACAGAGGATTTACAGTCCTGGGGTTGCCAAGCCAGGAACCCCTCCTGACCAAAAGACTCACTGAAAGAAAGAAAAGCAAAAGCAAAATTGGTATTTGCTATGTTCCTGCCAAATAAGTGGAGAAATGCAGACAGATTTTTCACTTCACTTACAAAATAAAAATCTAACTTTGTTTAGACAGCACAATGCAGCTAAAGAGAAACCCGAGCAGTACTTTTTGAAGAGGAACCTGTCAAAATAGTAGCCGTGTTTCAAAGCCAGACAGTGTTTACTTTCCACTCCATGCAAGAAAAATACAGGGGAGAGAGGTGGGTTCATTTTACATGGGCAGTTCTCACTAATTTTATTAAAAATCTCCTGCTTAAATAATTATTTGTCAGCAGCGTTCCAAAAAAAACCTTTGTGCCAAAACCATCTTTGGAATAACCCCAACAGATTTCAGTCGATGACTACCGTAACAGCAGTTAAAAACTGGCCTCATCCAGGCAAAATAATAGAGACTTCTTCCTTTCTCGAAGAAACCCCAGGCACACAGAGCAGCTCCGGTCGGGAGCTGTGCGGAGGGGATGCTACAGGAACCGTCCCCCGCTTTCAAACCAGTCAGCACTTCGTAATGATGGAAAGTGCAGCAATGAGTTACCCACGGGTTTGGTCCCACCAGGTGCCAAGTATCTTTAGCTCTAAGTATCATCAACTGGCATGGAGCAGGCTTAGCAAACGCGTGGGTGTTGGCAGCACTTGGTAGCATTGGGGTCTACAATGGTGCGTGTTCGGGATGGGACCAGGATGAGACAGCTAAGAGCTGAAGCAGAAAATAAACACAACGCTGCTTTCCATGGCTCTGCTACGCGCTGCCACACACGAGTGGCGTGGGAATGGCTGTGTAGCTACCGCAGGAAGGGCAGCTGGAGGCTGAGCTCGTCTCTGATCTCCTTTACACCGACTGCCCCTCTGTGCCGTGCTGTCGCTGGCCCCAGGGCTTGCTCCTGCTGTCGGGCAGGACCTGGAGATCAGCGTGAGGACCACATGCTGACCTGGGGAGGAGGTACCTACCGATGCTGTGCTTTGGCTTGCACTATGACTGTCACAGCTAACCGAGCCATCCTCTCTTCCCACATTTGGGATCCCAACTTATGGCCTGATGCCATGTCCCAGCAAGGAAACTCCTCCTAGCTCGGGAGACCCTATCCACTGATGCCGAAAGGCACTCGGGTCCCTATGTCCCCCTGGCATGGGAAGGACCCAGATGCCCAAACCACCTGGAGATCCCAGGACCAAATTCCCACAGCCAGGCCCTTTCCCTGGCAGCAGAGACTCGTGGGAGCCAGGTCCCAGAGGCAGCAGTCCCTGCTCAGCCTCAACCAAAAAGCCCATCCCGGGAGAGATGAGTAGCTCAGTTCGGTTGGTTCAGAGCGGAAAATGAACCGGCAAATGCCAGCCATTTGGGGCAGGAGAGAAGAACATTTGCATCAAAACATATGAAGCAATCCCACAGCCTGCACACCAGTCGCTGCCTGAGTCACCCTCTCACTGCGGGTTTGTCTCTGATCACTCACCTTTAGCCAGAACAAACATCACGGTAATGGCAGTCCTGCTTTTCCCCGAGTACACACGTAACATTTTCAGGAAGGGCAATTGCACAGCGCCAGCACTCGGTGGTGCAGGCAGCCCCGAAACGCAAGCAGCAGAGCCCTGACAGCTCCCCCTCGCTGGTCAGCACCCGCACCCCGCTGGGGAGGGTCCCGGCTCACCCGCCCCGGCCCTCCCCGGGGGGAGCTGCCGACTCCCACCCCATCGCTGCATTAGAGAGAGGGTTGGGCATGCACCAGAGGTCAGGCTCCCCAAGGCATTTTGGAGAATGCAGGTCCCCAAGGGCATTTCCAGCTGTCTAACACCCCGCTTGTGAGGGAGGTGAGCTCAAAACGCTTTCCTGCAAACCACCCTGCGCCTGTCTCCTTCTGAGAGCTGCAAATGCAAAACTGGGTTTGCCCAGCTGAACTGAAGAGCATCACGAGGTCCCCCTGTGATCCCCAGAAAGCCCGCAGAGCCCAGCAGCAACAGCACATGGCATCTGCCTTCAGGATCCGAGTTTGTTGCTCTTGTCTTTTATCCACCCGTTATTCCTGAGCTGGGCCTCCCACCTCGCCACCCCAGACAGCAGCATCACTGCTGGGAGCACCAGCCGGCACAAATTTCCCAGGTGCCAGGGAATGGCCCCTGGGATGTGCAGTGCGGAGTCTCCGGTTGGTAGGAACAGCTGGGAACACCATTTTGTGTGTGTCCAGGCTGGTGACCTGCATCGCTGGTTCAGCGAGGACATATGGAGCAACACACAGTGTCACTGATCTGTGTCACGGGGACCGAGATCTACAGGACCCACACTTCCCCGGAGCAAAACCTGGGGTCCCGGCCACCCCTGCCCCACATTGCCACCTGGCTCTGGGCACCGAGAGGAATTTGCACAGACTCCGAGTCACAAACATCTCAATGTACACTTTTCTCAGCCTCCAAAACCTCAGTCAAAGGAAACTCTTGTCAAGGAAAGCTCAGCCCAGACGGTTCCTGAAGAAACCCCAACTATGCGATGGCTTCAAATGCAACTCCAAAGCCACAAACACAACTGTCGGAAGACCCTGACAAAGCGCCAGATGCTGCTGCTGGAAAACCTGTTCTGCAGCCATAGGGGTTGGTCTGTGCTGCCACCGAAGGGAAAGGAGGAGGGATCAGGAGCTGTGGGCTCCGGCACTGCTTGTGCAAAAGGAAAAAAAATAGGACAGAAGGAAACCAACTTTATTTCAGTTCCTTAATAAAAGGTGCCAGAGGCTTTGCATGTGGTAGGTGCGATGTTCCCCACTAATAGGTGCGTGGAGAGAACTGCAGCCAACCAGAGCTAAAGGAGCTGGTCTCCAGCAGTAACAGACATCCCACCAGCAGCCTAATCTTTGATTCTCGACAGAGCCAGAGGCATCTGCAAAGAGTCCAAAGCGAGGACTGCTGACCCGTGCCAGGGAGCCAGCGGCCGTGGATCAGCCCCAATGTCAGCAGCTCCGTGCCCAGGATTTGCCATCTCCTCCCAAATAGCTCCATCTCCACAAAAGCCGTCAAAATGCTGCCTTAGCATCACCACCTAACCAAACGCTTGGTCCTTCTGACCCATGCCTGGGGAGAGGAGGATTGAGAGGGATCTGTGAAAACAAGGTGCTCCGACACTCCGGTCACCCAGGGTATGGCTTTATTGTGTGTTTCTGAACAAAACTGGAGACGGGCAAAGAGCCAACATACGAACCGTGCTTAAATAACACTGCAGGGGAGGGGGCAGCTCTGGCTTCCTTGGGGTGGGGGGCTGAGGCTTGGGCACGAGTCTTTGGCTTCAGAGGACGGCAGGGACAGCGTCTGCGAGAACAAGCTCTGGTAAGCGGTACTGACCTGGGTAAAGATCTTTTTCAATAAGCTTCATCTGGAGATGGAAGATCTGCTCCTGGAGTTTACAAATGGTGTGTTTCATTTTCTCCCGTCTCGTCACCATGTAACAGAGATTTCTAACCTACAGGAACACAAGAAACAGTGTCCGTTTTAGGCAGGGTCGAAGCGGGTGCCCTCAAGCTGTGTCACTGCTTCTGCCACCCAGGGAAATCCCCACTCCCCAGGATTCGGTCCTCTTCATCGCACCATCATCCACGCTGCACCAAAACTCCTACCAGGGCTCTTTGGATGCGCCACGACTACAGGTGAGGGCTCTTGATCCAAACTGTGTAATATATATGGGAAAAACCATGCAGTGAATGATTCAAAGCCTCAACGTCTCTGTTCTGGTTCTGACAGCCAGGATCCCACGGGGGGCAAGGAGGGCTGGCTGGCTTCTCCAGCACGTGCGCTGGGCATACAAAAGCCGTAAGGAAGCACAGTATCTCCACAGATACAGCTTTTCTTACCCCAACAGCACGTCTCTTTTGTAGCACCAAGTCTCCTTGCAAAGCCCCGCAGATACCTGCCAACATGCCTGGGGTGCCCACCCCAAAGCAGAGCAGCCACCTTGGAAACCCCAAACACAGCTCCACCAGCCTCTGCCCCGGCTCCGGGGACAGCTCGGCCACCACTGCCCCCAGCGCCTCGGGCAGCAGCGAGCTGGGACCATCCTGCCTGGGGGGCTGGGGCAGCCCCGGCTCCAAAGCCCCACGCAGGGGGCCACATAGGACGCTGCACATAGGGGAGTCTCTCTCTCTCGCCCCTGTCTTCTTCTGAACATAAACAATAAGCAAGTTAATCTTTAACTTCTCCCATCAAAGGCCTGAATTCAGAGGCAGGGTTTGCACTTTGGCATCAGTGCTTTCCAGGGCACAAATTCAGCCCGAATAACGCAGCACGCAGGGAGTCAAATGGGGCCAAGTGTGCTGCTAATCTGCTCCCATTAGTCAGGATTAACTTTCAGTACTTGTTGCAGCACATCCTTTAATTTGCTGTTGATACGCATCAGCGCACAAAGTTACCAAGACCCACAAAATGGGAACAGAGAGAGGAGAAACAGCTAAATAATTTTGTGATTATACTGAGGTATAGCAATGGTGTGGACACAGAGTGTTTGAATCTCCTGTTAATTGTTCACAGACCTAATGAAGAAGTTAATGTCTCTAAAGGATTTGGAAAATCTTGGAAGAGAAGATGCTGTAGAAGGAGCATTATAATATAGTTATGCGGAGGGCCAGCAGACACACGGAGCCCCGAGCATCTGAGCATCATGCTGAGCCCTCAGCCCAGCAGCTGCATCACGCATGTGCCTTGTTCACACCCGACATAGAAACCTGCACAAAGAAATGCCAAATGCTAAGAGGTACTTTGGTCCCCTGGGTCAACAGGCCAGTTCTCATCCACAAATTGCTCCTTTGGCAGGGAGGGAGAGACCCTCTTCCCACAGCCGGTGCAGGGAAGGGGCACAGCTGGGATGGAGCTGCAGGTATGAGGCTACTGATCTGCTGAACATCAGAGCCTTACAAAACTGCCTGTTGCCCTAAAGCAAATGCCAGGACAGAGCATAGAAAATACAGCAAGATATCCAGGTGATGCCGGCCCAGGTCAGCAGTCATGTACCAGTGTGGCTCCCCTGGCCCAAACCTGGCCAGCATCCTCCCCTCCGCATGGTTACTCACGCTTGCTCCACATCTCCCTGCAAATCACTGGTGCATTTTGTCCCCAGTTCAAGAAATTTTATTAACCAAGTGGGAAGCCCTAAATGCAAACAGCAAAGCACAAGACATAAATGCTCACATGAACTAGCACAGCAGTGGTTAAACCGTGCTCGTCCCACGGGGTTGCCGATAAACACCCCCAGCAGCCCCAGATGACAGAGCTACTGCGTGCTACCCGCTGGCATCTGCCTTGGGATGAATTTCAGTGCCGTGCTTTTTGCCAGCCCCGTGTAAGGGTGGCTGGAGAGCAGGGCTCTGTCACCATGGCTGCGGCGGGCATCACGGCTTTCGGAGGAAACAGAGGGTTTCAGCTGTGAAACAGAAAATGCTAATGGCAGCTAACAGGATTTGAGAGCGTTTACTCAGCTTCCTGATGCTCTGAAAGAGCAAAACTGCCCGTAATAAGGTAAGGAGGAGGTGGCCTGAATGGAGGCACAGGCAGTAACGTGTGTGGGTATGTCCACGCTCACGCATGACCCTGATGTCTCCGATTCCTCCCCCTCGTCCTCAAACCCCTCTCTGCAGAGGAAGGCTGGGGTATTTCCAGGCTTGGCGGACTGTCCCCACGTGGTCGGGAGCCTTTGTGCATCTCACAGTGACAGAGCAAGTCAGGACCTTGTCCCAGGCTTACCTAATGTCTGCCACCAAAGGCTGTGAAGGCAGCAGCATGACCGTGGCCATCCCCTAATGGCATCAGTCTTACCTAAGGACAATCTGGAAACACTTAGGAATACAGGAGAAAAAGCTGCTCTCTTTTTTTTTTTGAATCCCCTAGCTGTAAATACAAAGCAGTGAGCTATATGCTGTGTATTTTACTACATTTTCTTTTTTTATTCTGGATTGGAGAAAACATCAAACTAAAATTTCTTTATGAGGAAAACAACTGCCTCTGGCAAGCTGCATCTCAAAGTGTTTGGCGGTATCTCTTCTCTATGACTTGATATTCCTGGAAGAAAACATTACTTGTGCTCTGCTTAGAGACTGCTGGTATTTACACACACTTACACAGACAAACACTACCCAGCGCTGCTTCCCCAAGCCAAGCTTAGACGCTGGTATGAAAGCCTGGAAATTATAGTTTTTTGTTGAAGCTAATTTAAACAACCAGTTGTTGGAAAAAGCTTCTAAAAAAAAAAAAAAGTCAAAAGAAGGTTAAAAAAGGCCAGAAAGAAAATGGGGGGACTGTATTAGGATTCCCAGGCAACACCTTTCATTTGCTGACACTGTGAAGTGCAGAAATGACAGTGGTTAAGAGATGGCAGAGGGGCCCTGGCTGTGCCCGTGTCATCTGCCCCGCTGCTTCTGCCTCCCCAGCTCTTGGATCCAGATACCATTACCAGCCCCCAAATCACAACCATGCCTGCCAGATTAATTGCTGAAAACACTAAAATAGCAATGTGATGCCCCATGGACACCTTCTGAAAGCCACCCCTCCAGGCTGCTCTTCTCCGACCCTTATTTGATGTGATGCCTCACCATTTCCAGGTGAAATGCGGCAGCTGTGAGTGGCGCTGACAGACAGGATCAGATACCTGGGATGCACTGGCAGCAATGGGATTTAAACCCGTATCACCCATCTGAGCACTGGACTTCGATCTGGCCAGTGTTTATTGTTCCCTGTCTTGGAAGAAGAGCAAACAAACAGCTCTTCCAGGGCCAGGCAGTGAAACCTGGCAGGGTGTTGCTAAGCAGAGGCTGAACACCGATGGGGAATGACCCCAGGAAGCCTGGAGGCAACCCTGGAAAATGAGAAATCTGGTAAAACCTGTAGTTTTGACACAAAGAAATCAAAGACAAGCTGCCATGCCATGTCTTTGAATTAGGCAGCTCCTGGAGCAAAGTGCTGTACCCAGAGATGCACAGTGGTTTACTGCAGCTGGGAAAGTCAAGCTGGGAGCAAGTGGAAGCAGAGGGAGGTGGAGCAGCCTGGTTTAGATTTACAACATACAGCAGCAGATGAGGGGAAAAAAGCGAGTTGAACTTGTTGCCCTCGGCTCCGGCAGTTGCAGCTTGTTGCCTACAGCCTGGTGCTGGAGACCCATTAATGGTGGCACCAGCCCAGCCCAACATAGGGATGGAAACATGATGCAGTAAAGGCAGGAGCAAAGGAGGGGCAGACTGGCAGAGCGATGGCAATGATGTATGCAGGGATGAAGGCCAATACGGCCACAGAAAAGAAACCAATAGCTTGAAATCCAATTGCTTTTACACAGGAGAAGGGTCTCAGGCTCCAGGACCCACACAGGGAACTGCAGTGAGGGACCAGGACAGGCTGGTCCAGTGCTGAAACCCCACCTGGACAAGAACACCCTGCTCACCCACACCGCCCTTCTCCCCATGGGTTTAATTATGCTGCAGCCCCACCGCGGTGTGGAGAGAGAGTTCGGGGTAAGCAGGGGCAGCATCACCCCCACCTTCGCCTCCCAGGGAGCAGCATGTCCCCTGCAGCACCCTCTGCCCCCCTGCTCAGGGCACCACCTCCACCGGGTCAAAGCAATGCCCTTTTCCTGCTTTCCTCCTTCCTTGCCTGCTCCCAGTGATCCCCTGAGCCCTTCCATGGCTTTCACACCCTGGGTGGGCTGTCAGGAGGGGACCCAAGCAGGGGCCATGGATTCACCCCTCTGGCAGGAGCACGACGGGAGGACCAGGCAGGACTTGGGTTTTAAGCACAGGAGGAAAGGGAGCTCGGCCCCTGCATGCCAGACTTGGCAGCCCTGCCCTACCTGTCCCCGTCCCACTGCTGCCCTGTGCTGTGCCCATGTCCCCCCCGAGCAGCATCACTACCGCACCCATCCCCTCCCCGGCCACTCTCTGCCGTCTCACTCTGGGTGCTGTGCTTCTTCCCCTGCTTCCCCCCCGGCTGCTTCTCACCTTCGCCGCCCCTCCTCCTCTCCAGCCTGCCTCTGCCCCATCCCTGCTCCTGCCTGCTCCTTCCCTCCATGCAGCCATGACAGCCAAATCCGCAGGCAGACCAGCGCGGTGAGGCAGCAAGCACAGCCCAGAGGGGCTCCAGCACCACTGTGGTACTGCTGCTCTGCCAATGTTTGTTCCCCCCCAAAAAGCTGCCGTGGAGGCAGCTGCTCCCTCCCCCATGTGCAAGGATGCCCCATGCTGCAGGGAGCTGCGGGCGCCTGCATCCTCCGTCTGTGTCCTCCGGCGCAGCTCTGCCTCTGCTGGCAGCTCCCCCAGGAGCCGACCCACTTTCGGCTGCGGCAGGGCAGGGAATGCCCAGTCCCACTGGCCCTGCAGCTCACTCCTGCCATTCACCCGTCTTTGATGTTTAATGAAAGAAAATAATGAAGTGCCTTGCTGCTGGAAAGCATCTGAGGGGCAGCACAGGATAATTTTGTGGTTTGACTACGAAGAGCTCGGTGGACCAGCATCATCTGCCTCCCAGCCACCCAGCCCCACCGATGCACCTCTCCCCACAGACATTTGCTCTTTCGAACCCCTGGCTGAGACTTCCACTAACTTACTTCATCAACGTCAGTGTTTTGGCAGTGATGGTACACGCACGCTGAGCGCTGTTATTCTTCTGAATAACGCTCTGGATGAAGGGACACAACTGTTAGGGGAGTCGAACTGAGTCACCAGGGAAGAGGGCTCGTTCTGTCTATAGGCACCAGCACACATTAAAGCAGCCCTGATGGAGCATATGCGTACAGCATTGAAGGAAAAGTTGTACTCACCCTCTCCAGGTCTTGCCTGAGGTGCATGAAGAGCTTTAAGCGTCGGTAGAGAACGTCCTGTTCTTGCTGGGCCAAGTTGTCCACTTCATCCGTTTTTGGTGTCAGCAGTGGTTTGTTGGAATTTGCTTTCCTCTTCAGCTTCCAGTACTGGTAGACAAAATCCACCAGCGATTCGCTTAAGTCAAGGTTCTCCGCCACCTCTGAAGGCTTCACGAGTTCATAGAAGTCCTCCTCCAGCTGCTGGAGTTTCTGCTTCCGCAGTGTGACCTTCTCCAAGTCCAGCTGGGCTTGGTCAGGCTCTGTCCGTGCCTCCTCGGGCAACTTAGTGGCACCAGTGCTGTGCTCAAGGCAGAAGGACTTGAACTTCACTTCGTCGTTGTCTGCTAGAATAGTCCGCATGTCAAGGTTGTGGTCGAAGGCGCAGGTGACGTGGAACGCGGTGACGCAGGCGGGCATGGAGCACTGCGGGGAGAAGGACAGGGCTTACGGCCATGGCAAAGCACCATCGGTGGCAGGGACGCTTACCAACACAACACGACCACAGGGCTCGACCGTGGCTTACTACAAAAACTGTGACACCTATCTGAGTGACAACACCTACCATGAAGTGATGGATGCTCCACTACAGGTACTCCTTATGGAGGAACACCTGTATTGCCCAAGTCTTACACACCCATGAGCCGGACACCCAAGCAGAAGAAACGCAGGGTTCACTAGATACAAGCAGGCACTTTTCCACGTTACCTGCTTTAATCTTTCTCTGTGATGGGCCCTGTTCCATCTTTCACCTACCATAAACAGAGCTTCCAATGGTTCTTCCAACAAGACATGTCAACAGCCAAAGACAACAGCACGGGCCAACGGGCTGCTCTAAGACTGTCAACGGATTTCTCCTGATGGAGAAATTTTCATCTGTATTTCACTCCACTCTTTTACCACATCTAAAGCACCCAATACGCCATTTTTACTGAAAGCGTACAGAAGATGTCAAGCTTTATGAGTGAACGTGGTATCTCAGAAGCAGCCAACGCTCCCAGAGCACGATGCCTTTCTCCTCTGGAAATTACACAGCCTCTAATTAGCTCAATTAAGAAAGGAAAAAAAAAAGCAACTCGGCATATACAGAGCAAAACATCATGAAATGAACTTTTAAGAACTGGTACAGTGGCTAGACTGTTGTCAAACTTATATCAGATTAATTTTTTAACAATTTCCCTAACTTGCCTGAGACTTAAATTACTTTGGATCCCACAGGCAACAAACCTCAGCCTGGTTTCCTACAGAGGAACCCCTCCAGCCAGTGCAGTGCCTGCGTCCACATCAGCACCTTCTCCCCCTCTACTCATTAACTGGTTTTTAATGGCTCAGAGTGTCAGGTAATTATTTCAACCATAACCCATAAGAGATCAGTCTATTCGAGCTACTAATGACCAGTTAAACTGCAATAATGAGACATTTTAAGTGGGCTATTACTGTAGGCACCGTATTTCAGCATTTATAGAAGAACTGTTCTTGCAGGGGATGAAGATGCAGTTCTGGCCTGAAGGACCAGGCGGAGGCACATGAAATTTCCTGGGTGTGGATGACAAACCATTCGGGATGCTGTAGAGTTTTACTGGGGCCCTGCTGCATTTTAATTCTCAAAAAGCAAAAAAAAAAAAAAAGAATTCTGGTAGTAGTTGAGGAACAGAAGTTTTATGGCTTTTTATCTTCAACCCATCAGCCCTGAATTCCTGCTCAGTCACCCCGTTTGTGAACTTTTGACATTGCTCCTTTTAGATATTTTCCCTTGACTTTGTTTATGAATCTGCTGGTGCTTATGAAAGCGAGAGACTTGCGTGGCTGCCAGGGCCAAGAAAAGCATAGGCAAGCAGTGTCCAAGTCCTCCGCTTCCAGGGCTCTCCAGGCCCTGCTCCAAAGGCTCTGAAATCAGCAGGAGGAGCTGGATGCAGCAGAGCTGGATGCAGCCCCGCCACGGCCGAGCCCTGAGCTGTACCAGCATGGGTCCGGGCAGCGATGCTGGGCACTAACTCCTGCAGGCACCAAATGCAAGCAAATTATTAACTCCTACCCCCCGCTTACCCTGTTTAAATATGGCCATTTGATCCTAATTTCAGCCTGAAATCGCTTGTGAAAATAGCTGATAGTTTGCAAAAATCAGCTCCCTCTGCTATGCTGCCAGCACTTGCACAGAGCCTGGCATCATGTGGGACCTGTCGCTGCTCCCCGCACCAGCCTGGTGCACCCACCGCAGCGGTGGGCAGCGGGTGCCTGCCCTGCCCATCCCGCGGGACAAGCCCTGTCACAGCCTCCCACACGGCTGAAGCACCGGCTCCGTTCTCAAGTATTTATTTTTGGTAACAAAGGAGGGACAGAGGGACCCCAGCCTGACTTGCAGCATCCACATTTATTCGGTGCAGTCAATATATCACGCACTGGCTTTTAAAGCACAGGCGCTTGCTCCTACAGCCATGGGGCAAGCATTAATACAAAAAGGAGTTGTGATGCACTTTCAGGTTGGAGGCCTTTGCCAGCTGGAAGTGCCTGTGATTGAGCGTTGTTCCCTGGTAGCTGAGATGGTAATGGTACTGCATGGAGCTACGGAGCTCCTGATGTACTCCTGATGTACTCCTGAGGTACTCCTGAGGTACTCCTGATATACTTCATCCTGTTCTGGCGTAACAGCTGGGGGTGCTTCAAACTACAGCATCCTTTTGTGCTGTTATGCACATGAATATCTACGGGAGAGAAAGAGGACACAGAGAACTCGCCGCCGTCGGTGAACTATGTGAGCTAAGGAAAGCCATGCAGCGATGTCCCCTCCCTCCTGTTTGTGTCACCGGCAGTAATATTGGCATTAGTACCACGGTCATGGCTTCTGCCAGGACAAGGGTGCGGGTGCACCCGCTAACAGGAACAACCATCACTCCACCTTAGGAATAAAGCAAATCGAATGACACCTGTCCTGGATCTCTCCTCCGACAGATGGCAAGCAGGACTTGTCAGAAACCATGCCCAAAATGCAAACAGAAAATAATTAGGCAGTTTGGCTGACAGGGCAACAAAGAAAGATACCTGGTCAGCCGTCGCTACCCAGGGACCTTGCATAAACTGACAATAAAAACATATTGATCCATCCCAGAACAGCGCTGGAACAAAGCCACTCTTCGCAGGAGGGAGGGATCTGCCACGCAGAATAAACTGGGCCCAGAAGACTGGCACAGTCCCCAAGTCTGCTTCGTTATTGATCGTGCTTCGTTATCTTACAACACCTTTCATTCAAGGATTTCAGCATACTTTGCTTATCCAGGCAAATCCATCCCCAAACAGAATTCCGTGAGAGAGGGTGAAAACTGCACCAGAGATTAACGTGGGCTGTTAATTAGTCCTCAAACCACTCTTACTGGGAAGAAATGGAGGGATGAGTTTATTTGACAAGGAAATTCAAACAGTTTACCAGCTTACAGAGGTGCTCTCCTGCAGTTTGGGGCTGGAGGGGAAGGAAACGGCTCCTCCAACAGAACTGCGAGGGGAACTCAGGAAGGAAAAATTAATTACCGGTGCTGAACTCCAGCCAAGCCATCAGCCACGACACTTCTGAATCCTTACAAAGACTATCATGTGTTTTTTAGTGACCACAGATGGTCTGGATCCTGGTAGTGCTTCTCAGCTGAAATAGGCCGTTTCAGCATCGCAGACATCCTCGGAGGATGCGGCGCTGAGGCAGAGGATGGCCCGGGGGCTGCACGGTGCATGTACCCTGCTCTTCCCCTGCTGTCAAGCTGTACATTTTCAGAGCTACAGGCACAATCGGACGACAGCTCTGGGAACCACCACACCAGTTATCCCAGTGGATGGGGACCAGTGGCACAAGCAGCTCAAGGGGAGCGGGCAGCAGCGGGCAGAGCAGCGATAATGAATGAGTGAGTGGTGGAGGACACTTCCCAGGGCTTTTTCTCCAAAAAACAACAAAAAGAAAGCTGGAAGATGATGACAGCAAAAGATCGTGCCCTTTGGAGAAGCCTGGCAGCAACAGAGACCTGGCATTTTGCGCTGCGTTAAAAGGCCTTGGTGAGCTCTTCCAGTTGCTCTGAGAAGCGAGGAGGGAGTTGGTGAGGAGGGAGCTGGGTCCCAAGCAAGCACAGCTGGGACGCAGGCTGTGCCAGAGCCTGGCTCCTAGCACTCTCTTTTCTGTCTCAGCAATGCAAAGCAGCA